TTAAAGAATTACTTTTAGAATATTGCACTGTTTATCTGGATGTTGATATATAAACACACTTTAATTGTTTTTCTAAAGCTCTTGTGTGTTACAACTAGAACATTTATTCAACAAACCTCTTGGGTTTTATTTCTTCAGCCTCAGAGTCAGCAGTCAGAGTGTGTGTCTGAGACTGTGCCGGCTCACATCGAGCTCCTTGGGAGCTTCAGCAGCCTGATGACCTCAGTGGAGCAGCTGCAGTCCAGCTTCCTGCTCAACCCCGATGGCTTCAGCGAGGGAGAGCTGGCCACGCCCCCTCGCAAAATACTTCACACCATCAGGTCCTGTCAGCCTGCTGCGGCTATTCAGAGGCTAATCTGAGAAAAAGTAGAACAGGATAATTAAAGTATTTGCAACAAAATAAAAAAAAAAAGTTTAATCTGAAAGAGTAAATTGAAACCTGATTTGTTGTTTTGATATTTTAATGTGTTTAGAGTGAAAATGCTTTGAGTGTTTACTGTGTTTTTGTGCTTTGCAGGCAGCTGAACCCTATGTATGAAGGCTATCTCCAGCATGATGCTCAGGAGGTTCTGCAGTGCATCCTGGGATACATCCAGGAGGCCTGTGACACTATCAGAAAAGAGCAGGAGCTGGAGAGGAAGGAAGAGGAGGAGGACGACAGAGACGTTAAAACAGAGAATGGCGTTCCCTCGGATTCTAGTTTCTCTGGGGCGGAATCGAGAGCTTCCGTGGACGAGGACGGACAAGTCAGCGGAAAGAGGAAGAGCGACACAGAGGTGGGAAACGCCAAGAAGAAGCCCAAGTCTAAGAAGTCTGAGAGCGCTGAGGAAAATGTCTGTAGAAATAAACCCTTCACTCGCTCCAAGAGGAAGTCCTCCAGTGATATCACCGTGGACAGCGCTCAGAGTAAAGAGGGAGAGCAGGAGGAAGAGAAGAAGAATCTGAATCCCGATGAAGAGAAAGATGAAAAAGCATCCGGTAAAGAGACAAGCGGGAAAAGGAAGAAGAGAGGTACTCTCGGTTGGCTAAGATCCTCTGGGAAGCAGCCGAGTATTTTCTCAAAGTTCTGCAGCGTCGGGAAGATCAGCTCTACAAATCCAAAACCTTTGAACAAATCTGAGCCAGAGAATGGACCATCGGAGGAGCCAAAACAGAAAAGCACTCAACAGTCTGCAGCAAGGAAGTCAGCTAAAGGTCAAACAGAGAAACAACATGGTAAGAGATGAGAAATGAAGGTAGAGGGAGTAATGTGGGAAAATGTAGTAAGTTTGAGTAACGCCTGAAAGGCAACACATCATCAAAAACTGATAACTGTTGGGGTAAAAATAGATTCAACTTCTGTCTTGAATCCAGTATGTTTGTTAGAGATCTGATCATGATCCAGACTTCTCTGTTTGCCTCAGACGTTCTGGGCCTGATGGAGAAACTGTTCCAGGGCCGACTGGTGCTGAGAACTCGCTGTCTGGAGTGTGAGAGCTTCACTGAGCGGAGAGAGGACTTCCAGGACATCAGCGTGCCGGTGCTGGACGACCAGCCCACCAGTCCAGAGGACCTATCTGACGGTGAGGCGTTGAAAATATTGAATTGTGACAGAAAAGTAAAAACAGAAGAAACCTGTAACTTGCCAAATTTTCACAGCTCCACAGGCATGCTGTGTGCTTCATCAGCCATTTTCTCTTCACTGATTGTATTTGCTGTAAAGTCAAGTTTAGCTTTTTGCATTTCTCAAGATTGCTTTATCGGAATAACATTTTCCAGAAATAACTATCAACCTGAGAAATAGAATTTTGATTATGTAGGAGATGTTTTTAAACTACTACTTATGGTTACTTATTAATGAAATTAATATAATACAAAACAAGTAATGTTGTTTATCTTCTCAGTCTCTCCAGACCCAAAGCCTGAGATGAAGACCTTGACCTGGGCCATTTCTCAGTTTGCCTCTGTGGAACGCATCGTTGGCGAAGATAAATACTTCTGTGAAACCTGTCATCACTACACAGAGGCTGAAAGGAGTCTGCTGTTTGACAAAACTCCTGAAGTCATCACTATTCACCTGAAGCGCTTCTCTGCCAGCAGCTTGGAGTGAGTTCACAAACGATCCTTTGTAAAACCAAAACTTTTAAGGTTCCGTGTCTAACCTGGTTTTCCTGGCAGGGTGGATCCGTACGCAGGCCTCTCGAAAGTCAACACTCCCTTACAGACGCCCCTCACCCTGTCTCTGAACGAGTGGTGCACAAAGCCGTCGGCTGCTACAGGGCAGCAGTACGAACTGTTTGCTGTGGTCATGCACAGCGGTGTCACCATCAGCAGCGGCCACTACACCACCTACATCCGCATGTCCAATCTGAAGGATGCGAAGGTCTGGCTGCAGGACAAGAAAGAAAAAGTTTCTGAGGAGGATGTAAAAGAAAGCAAAGAGGAAGCACAGACAGACGAAAACACAACCTTCGAGGATGGCGAGGTGTCGGTCAGCCTGAGCACAAGGGGGCAGCGGCGAGCGGGTTTGGCTAGCACCAAATCAGGGAGCAAAAAGCTTTTGGAGGGAGGTGTTGGACTCCTGGGGGGACAGAGGAGTTTGCCCAATTGTGAGCTGGGAAGCAGCAGCAAAGCAGCTAACCGTGACGCAGCGGAGGGATCTAAACGGAGAAAGACGCTAAGCATCTCCAGCCAGAATGCAGGTGGACTCAAAAAGGAGCCAGAGGATACGGCAGTGGCTCCCCCTGGTGGGATGGAGGCAGCAGAGCAGCAAGCATTAACCAGCTTGCTGGAGTATGAGGGGAAATGGCTGCTGTTTGATGACTCTGAAGTGCGTTTGTTTGAGGAGGAGAACTTCCTGCGAGCCTGTTCTCCTGAAACGTGCTCCTCATCCACACCGTACCTGCTGTTCTACAAAAGGATCCCCGAGCCCTGACACTAAAATAAGCACAAGACATAAATGTGCACACACACACACACACATACACACGTAATTGTTGGTGCCAAAAACATTCATTGCCATTTCAACACATTATCTAAAGTTTGTTTCCACCTGCAGCAGTCTCCTCCTTTAGGACCAAGGCCAGTTGACTCTACTCTAAAGCAGGGGCTCACTATAAAGACTAGCTGAGTTTAAAACTGTTTCGTTTTTTTTTTGTTTTGTTTTTTTTTGTTTGTTTTTTTGGACTTGTCAGGGATGTTTAAGCCTTCTTTGTACAGACTTAGTTGTTTGTAGTGGTGTATTTTTGACACTGGCTTTCAAACTCGTCATGCCTTTTGTTGTTTCTGTCTGTAAGGGTTATTAGTGGCAAGAGTACTTTTCAGCACAGCTTTTATTTAAATCGAAGACTTTTTTCCTCTCCATGCGACAGAATTTGCAAAATACTTTTTTTAATGCATTGTTTTCTCAAGCTGTCCCCTAATTTTATTTTTTTTTTTTCAATCTTCCCTTTTTTTGGTGTTTTTTTTTTCTTACTGTGCTTGGGCCTTCAGTAAGTAAATTTTTTTGATATATCGAAGCATATTTACAATATATTTCTATTAGAAATACAAAAATAACCGTGTGCAGTCTGTTTAGAAAACCTGGTTTTTATATCACATTTTATATAGTCAAAGTTTCATTAATGTCCAGAATTTAAAAGTGAAACTCTTGATTGAAAATCCTTTATCCTTATTACAGAGTTTAGTAGTATATTTAGGGAAAGTAAATGGTTAAAGCTGCCCATTATCCAGCCTTTTTTTTTTTTTTCGTGCAATGTTATGTTTAATTGATCACACATTCACTTCCGTCTGAGAGAAAATTATTGAAATTATTTCTGGAGAGGCTATTTGATACTTTGAGAACTCCTGGAAAGTCCAAATGGGTCCTGCTGTATCACTCAACAGTAACCACGGACAAAAATCTTTTTTTTTTTTCCTGGATTTCTTCAAAAAAATCTAATCACAATTTTTTACAAACCCTAGATGGGAAAAGAAGATGCAAGAACTCACAGGGTGGACAGATTTTTCTGCAACGCTGGGGAAGAGAAATCAGTTGCTTATATGATAAAAAAATTTAAGCTTTGGGTCCACTCAACCTACCTCACTGCACCTTGGTCATGACATGGAAAAATTTGAGGCTACTCCCATTGCACAAGTTGCTTTCTTTTTTTATTGTTTTCCCCTTAACAGCTCTAGGTGTCCCACATGTTCAGTTATATTTTAACTACAATATTTTTACCAAATTCAAATGCGTTTCCATCTGCCCTGGGAAAAAGGATGAGAATTGTATCATAATTGTCAAACAGTCCAGCAACCTTTTGACATCCTTCAGTTCAGAGGTTCCCAAACTAACAGTTGTCTATGTTCAGCTACTTCAATTAATTTTGCCCCCAAAATAAGTCGATCACCCCCCACTCCCTCCACCACTCTCACACATCGTTCAACCAGGTAGCCTCTCCATTTTGGTAATCCACAGGGGGGGCCCAGGAGAAAAAGTTTGGGAACCACTGCTTTAGTTAATTGGCTACATTCATTTTTATCCATGTGAGACAAAACTTCATATTGTGAAGTATACTCTGTATTTTGCTTTAAGATTTTCTTCAGAAGATAAAAGCAACCTTGATGAGTGTGAAGCTGTAGCCCATACCAGCTGCAATGACCCTTTGGTTGAAAACAGACAAGCAATAAAGTTTTTACCTCCAGTTTTGCTTTGTCATTTTCTTTTGCATAAAGCAGCTTAACTGGAATTTAGCTTAAGTAATACATACCCAGCAATATACAGGTGCATGTCTGGGAAACATTTTTTACCAGTACATAAAAATTAATGGGTTTAATTTCTGGTTTGATTTAGTTTCTCAAATTTGAATATTATACGTCAATAAAAATAGATTTTTATAGCAAATGTCTACAAAACCATGGTGAAGATTGCTGACTTGACAATTGTCAAACATCCTGCATAATAAAAACTGTTGAACTGTTTGTTCAGAGTGCTGCAACCAAACACATTAACATAAAGTTAAGCTGAAAGAAAAACTGGTTGCTACTGAACCAAATGTCAAAAGTCTCTTTAAAATGAAAGTTTTAGTCGTCAGCCAGACCAAGTACTATTAGTTTTGTAAAGCTTTATCTGTTTCTATTTTTATTGCAAGCCATGATAAAAATGAACAGAAATAAGTGATTGACATGCATCACTGTCTAATGAGTATATATGTCTGTTTTTTAATTAAATTACATTTTCAATGCTATTCCAAATTATTTACATAGGTTTGTTTGTTAGAAGAAAAAAGAAAATCACACACCATCTGAACATTAAAATATTTATTTAGTAAAATATTTAAAGTAAAACAAAACTACATAAAATTATACAAGGATGTTTTAAGTACCTAATTTTAAAATGTTGCTTCAACATAAAATAATAAAGGATCATGATAAATACTGGTACAACTTTTTCTTTTTTTTTTCTTCCTCGCCTCCCTCCAATACATAAACTTTCAAGTCATAAATGCATTGCTACGCTATAATAAAAAAGTGCACAAATGAAATTGAATACATTATTTTTTTGACACATCGTACATAATTAAATAAACACCTTGACTTTTAAAGTGGTACCTTTTTCTGTGGACGCTTGTAAAAACGTTGGTTGTAAAAAGGGGAGCAGGGGGTTTGGCACTTAACCGGGGCTCAGAGCACTCTTCATATTCACTGGCTTACAGCTTGAAGGTTCTGTTGGTATCAAGTGTTTAAATAAGTGGGTTTCTTAAGGTAGCTGAGGGGAAAAAAAAAAACATCCCCATAGCAACAAACAGCAACTCCTGATCCTCAAGATCTCCTTGTTCACTTTTCAGACTGTGCGACCGTTTGTCTAGAAACAAATTAAGACACTGGAATGACGTACCGAGCTCCGTTGCTTGTAACAAACACTCCTATTTACACTTCAAAATAAATTAATATTGCAAATTTATGTAGTCTTTGTGTCGGTGACTGAGTGCAATCTCTCCATCTTCAAATATCAAGTTTGCGAAGACTCAGTCTGCTGAAGGAATCTCTGCAAAATGGAAAGAAAAAAAGAATTTAGAAAATTTCCTGCTTTTTCCTGGATTCCTTTTACGTACTGATGGACATGAGCTGGATGATTTACTTTAAAGCTTGATTTGAGAGGTTGGGCAGCATTTTGTGACTTGCAAAAGTATTTACAACCCTTGAACATTTTCACCTTTTAATTTAAAATCACACACTTAAATGTATTTTATTTGGATTTTATGTGATAGATCAGCACTAAATATACAACTGAAGTGCATGAAAAGAAACACATGGTTTTCTTGCTGCTTCTGAGAGCTCTTGCCACAGATTCTCAGTTGCATTAAAATTTAGGACTTTGACTAGGAACAGTGTTCTGTGAAAACTTATAACTAGTATTTTTTGATTTTCATAGAACAGCAGGATTTATAAACACACAGGTGGACTCTATACTAATTAGGCAGCTTGGAGAGAATTTTATTTAGCGTATCAGAGTGCAGGAGGGTGAACACAGATGTACACCACACTTTTCAGATTCAGTTGAAAACCATATATCATTTTCTTTCAATTTCACAGTTTTTCATTACTTTGTGTTGGCCTATAATATCAAATCTCAATCAAATACATTGAAGAATCAAACATGACAATGTGTAAAACAGTTCAAACGGTGCGAATACTTTGGCAAGGCACTTCATGTATCTGCTGTTGAAATATCAAAATCTTTTTATTCAAATGGCAGAAGCGTTAGCAATTGTGATTTTTTTTAAACCAAATGCATAATAAAATAATCATTCATATTTGGGTGTTTGTGTGCAGCATCACTACTTCCATGTTAACTTCTTTGTTTTTAAAGGTGGCTGCAGAGCTGCAAACTGTTTTCTTTTTACTTGAGAAAACTCTTTAAAATCTCTAAATGACGACACAAAAACACAAAGTGTGGTTTCAGAGCTACCTTATCAAGCTGTCCGTTTGCTGCGTGATTATTACAAAAACAAAACACTGTTTAAAAAAAAAAAAAAAACACCACCAAAACAAAGAAGTGAGCGCAGATGGGCAACATGTCTTCTCTCACCTGTGCGAGTTGACCTGCAGGACGGGTTTGTAAAGCTGCGGGATCTTCCTGTTGATGAGGGGCTGCAGCGCCTCCTTCAGTCTGTGGTAGTTCCGCTCCAGCTCCCTCTGGTACTCTTTCTGGTCCGGTCCGATCAGGCTCTTGTTCTTCCGGAGGGCGTCTTCGCACCTTTGGCAGGACAAAACTTTCCAATATAAAACTGAAATGTCCTAACAAACAGAGTTTGGAAGCATAAAGTACCTCTTTGTGAAGTCCTTAAAGCACAGACGGAGCTTGTTGTGATGTCGATACAGTTTTGGGTCACTTGGGATTTCTGACAGGAACACCTGAGCCACTTCCAACGGACCCTAAAAATGGGTTTTCTATATGAGCATCAACAGAAATAAAATAAAATAAAAAGAAGTGCAGTGTGTTTCGCTGATGTCTGACCTGATTTACCGTTGTGCCCACAGATCCCTGCAGGACCATCTGCAGCATTTTGGCGTCAGCAGGGTCCTGGTGGGTGGCAAAGGCCAACTCCTGAGTCTTCTTCTGCATATCCTCTATCGCCACCTCTATGGGTGTGGAAATAATCTGGAAGCAGAAAAATGTCCAGAGATTTTACTAACTGTAATAATACAATATGCTAAACAGCATTTTCTAATCTGTAACCTCCTATTTCTGTAAAGAATTTCCACAACAGAATGACAGTTGTTGTTTGTGATGGGTCACAGACTACAGTCATATCTAAAACAAAATTACAATACATGTTCCAATGAGCCTAGTTTGTCAGACTAAAAGTACCTTTTGGGAATAAACCTTAATCAGTTAAATTTATGCATTAAGTATTAAACATAATTTTCCTTTTACCATTTTTAACGTTTCACAATAACTCCTTCTAAAAATACTTGTTTACATATTTGTGAACCTTTCTTCAGTTCTCAGCAGACATCTGGCTTCTCCAAGTCTTTTCCAGTTAACCGCTTGTTCCTTCGTGGCCTACCTCTTCCTTGTGAATGATGTTGATCCTCGTCTTGATGTAAGGAAAGGCGTGTGACGTGGTAAGGATGGTCTTGCGTTTGAACTGCTC